CAGGTTGGCTGAGTTCGGGTCAAATCGACCCGCTCGCCTTTCGGCTGCATGGCTGTGGGTGATTTTCCTCTAGAGTCGGGTTTCGCTAATACATGTCATGCAGCGCGGCTGATCGTAGGAATTGCAAGAGCTGACGAATCGTCCCCAGTCGTTTACATCTATTCCACCGCTGTCGCCATCGCCATAACTGCCGCAGAAGTGCGGCGCTCCGACGCACTGGCAAGCCGCCCCCTGTAACCCTGACCGCCGCCCACTTGCTTGTATGGCTCCTTGCAGTACCGTGGCCACGATTTCGTGTAACGCTAACGATAGCTCTGCATAAATGCTGCGCGTGTAACCTCTTTTATACTTTTGCTAACAAATGTTTCCAGTGAAAATATAATTTTTACTGCAGCTTCATACAATTTGCCGATTCGCTATAACAGAATATTTCAGTTTGTGCTAATCGGTAATTTCACTACTAGCTATTGCTGAAAGCAGTTGGTTATGCTCGCCGGGGTGCATTAGGACCCCTGTCTTTATAGGAATGCAGACAGCCGTTGTATCTTGCAATTAAGCTGTTCCGTCTGACAATGATTAGATCAGTGTCTATAAGTATCCAGCTTGCTCGGGTCCCTCTGTATGAGATTCTTAGGCAGCAGAGTATGCTTCCGTGCAGAGAAGAAGCTCAAATATTACTTGCATTCTTGCTCCGTGTTCGGGGAGCTGAGCGGACTAAGTGAAGATGAAGGGAAGATGGGATAACGTTACCTGGGGTAAGCAGTTTTGCCTTGAATCGTCTAACTGCGCTATTCAGAGGGACTGATCTTAATTGGATGTATATTGCGCCGCTGTTTTATCCTAGCCTTTATCTAGTTGTCTGCTACGAGGCGGGCCCCGATGTAGCATATGCTCGGAACCTATATAAAACGAGAGTCAATAGTGAGGTCCGAAAGTAATTTCATGCACATAACCTTCGGTATCGTATAAACTAATTTTCTTTAACGCAGGTTGTAGAATACTTGTTTGTACATGCGTGTGCCCACTTAAATTCGGAAACTATTTTGGAGCACGCATTATCGTCTGTATTATTACCTATGAACCTTTTGCTGATTCAGGTTTTCCCATTCGATATTGACCTACTTTTTCTGCTAAACAGGACAAAATGGAACCCATCATTAGTCGAGGGTAGAAATCCAGTGGCTATAGCAAAAAAATGGATAGCAGAAAAGATCGGTAACGAATGCAGTTCATAGGTTTTTTGTAACGGGTCAAACATGGTTTTGAAAAACTCAGGAACTTCATTGTAACTTACGCGTATCGAACGACTAAGTCTACGATAATGGCCATTTTATTCGTAGGCCTTCCAGGCTAAATCTAATTAGAGAATTTATTATGGCACATATACTGATATACGTTTTTCATGTTTTAGTTGCACTTAGATAGTTGCACTTCCCATATGACATAACATGGTTGGGGAGATCTTAAGAAAACAATCAATGGCTGATTATGGAGCTTATCAACGGAAATTAATAAGCCAACGGTTAGCTCTTCAATCATTCTTAGCAAATTCTGGCTTTTGGAAGTGGCACAGTGATAACGCTGCAATTTGTCACTTCTGAGTCCTATACTAGGCCTTGTCTGAAATAAGGTATTTAGAGGACGTCTTCTTCATATTCTGAAGACTAAATTGCGCAAAATGAGCTTGCTTGTTTGTCATTATTAAGTGAAACGTTAACTTATTTCAGAAGTAGCTCGTCTATCGGCGAACGGAAATGTTCACCGATAAGAAATTCAATAACAATCCTGGAACAATCGGTGAACGGCATTACTTCCAATCTATATCTACACTTTTAGAATTTTCATAGTAAAAATGGGACAAGCGCAAAAAATTGCTAGTCAGGGAAAAATCGAGTTGCATCTTAATCAATGCCTATTGTGCATTGCTAGAACCGAACGACGCTCTGTTTCACGGAACCTTCCATCGTTGTTATCTGTGTGAGCGTTACTGTGATATGCGTGACGTTTATCAAATCGACTCTGTGTATTTCTTTCTATTTGTACTGTAGCAAGACGTGTCCACAGTGATCCCGTCCATGTTCATACTTGCGTGAGTTATCCAGTGTGTATACGTATATGTTATGTCATCATTTACAACAAAGTCTAAATGGTTCTTGTTGTTAAACGTAAGATCTGAATGTTGCCACATCTATAAGGATATTAAAGCTCATTGAATTGGACATAAGCGGGGGGCAGTTCACTGGCAGCGGGTGCTGTTCCGTTCTTCTCAAAGAGCTTTTCTGATCATAAAAAAAAAACAAGCTAGGGATTCTGGAAACTCACACAGGTGCTATTAGCCAACTACGAAAGGTCGGATCATATCAAGACTATCTATTGATGAACGTGCGCTACAGAAGCTGAGGCGAGCATTCGTGAACAAGATTAGATTTGGGATCTTTTATTAGCTCGTTAACCCATTTGCTGCCGACTGGCCATCTTGAAGGTATCCTGTATCTATTTTAATGCGGTTTGCAAAACTTCTTTCTTTTTGTAGCGATGATTGTGTAATGTTAGCCGCTTTAGAATACAGAAACTACCAAGCGTATCAATGCAGCTGGGCTTCTGAGCCACGTAAAGTTGACGACCGCAGAAACAGAAAACGTAATATATTTTTCGCGTGAAGAGTGTGTGTGTCTTCTATGCCTCCAGATTGCCTTGGCGCGGGGGAGTAGGTTGAGATTTTGCGGCAGGCTATGTAGAAACAGGAATTAGGCAGCTAACAGTAAGCACCTTTCATTTAATGTAGAAGTACTCATATGATTCCAAAATGAACAGGTTTTTTTTGCGGCAAGTGGGCGTAACACAGCCTCAAAATTTAAAGTCTATATATGTATGGTATTTTGGTGCAACTTTGTTTTGTTAGGGTTTACGGACGCCTTGGCATCCCATACGCGGCACTCTTAGGATCTTCCTTTCAATCACGTAACTATACATCTGTAATACTAATAAGTTAATTCGCACAAGTATGACATGTTCGAAAGACCCAAACTGGCCATACTTACATCATCGTGAAAATATCAAATTCTGCTATTTTTTATGGATTCTCGTTCTTGTCGCGATATTGTACAATTTGATGTTTACTTCATTGGACCAGAGTTAAAAGGATCTGCTAGCCGCTAACCCAATATCAACTGGTCGCTTTAGACGAAGTGTCTTTATGGTGACTACGGATAGATGATGGCGATGACCTCGGTTATATCAGCTTTCTGGACTAATAGATCGTACGCTTATGGATACTGTTCCTATAATCATTATTATCTATAATTATTGCCATTATACTGGTGGTAACTTAATAAGAACTTTCGAAATTAGTTTAGATATTCAATAAACCTTGCCAATGATGAGGTCAGTGCTTTTGAACACTTAGGTATTACGCAAAAGTGTCTAAGATCAGCAGTAGACATTCACGCTGCGAAAACGGTTCTTTAGGTTGTGAAGTCTTATCGAAAGGTTTGCAAACAACTACTGTGAAACGTAATACAATAGTTATTAATTAAGGTATGGTAATATTTATCGTTAAAATCCATATGTTGTTATAAACCTAAGTTGACGTGACCTAGGTAGTAGAACCTAAATGTAGTATTACCAAGTTCTCAATATAATCGTGATGTTTCAAAAACGTATCAACACATTACAGAATCCATTTATTAGAGAATACATTCACTGCAGTAAGCAAAGACGTTGTGTACAATTAAAAAGTCTCAAGAAAATTCTCAGGTGACGTCGCTGATCGTCTGAAAAAACTGTCCTTCAAGGGCATACGTCTCTTCTGGAAAGGTCTACAAGGTCAGATTTTTTGGGCTTACGTATACTTTCATTTTACGGCACGTATTGTATCGCCGATACTTGCCGTTTCTACTAACGTTGTCAATTTTGTACGCATAATTTATTCAATATAAATACAAACCGGTTTATCACAAATAGCATATGACCATTTAATTAAGTTTTCCTAGAGAATTCGAGCACGTTACTTACAAGCTACCGTTTCATGCAGACTCACAGACTATGGGTCGGCTTGATAGATAAGTCGACCCCATCGTAAGATCCGTTTTCTTAAGATTACAATTGTTCTACTTCTGCTTAGCGTAGGCGTCATTTTTAAGACTCTCTATGTACATATGTCGATCATAGTCGTTAGTATTTGGAGTCTAAATGCTAGTATTTAATATGGATGCCTGTACGTACAATCTAGCTGCGTATTCGGACCTATTGATGGGCATAACCAATCATAATAGGCTTCGTGTTGGTATTTTGAGTTGTTTCCGGGTGCTGGAAAGTACAACCAATCCGTTTGTTCCTTCGATCAAAAATGCAAGTCTACTATAAAAAGTGAAGAGGGCTCTATAGAACTTGGAACCGCACTGGTAGAGAAAATTCAGTGTATAAATGTACCTTCTAAAGCCACGAAAAAATATTTATTTTTATGATTATGTGCTCTACTAGAATCAGACAGCACCTGTACCATACGCCGTCACACACCGTCTCCATAAGGCTACACGAAATAGCTACACTCATGCGATCAAACGAAATCACATCGCTGATTACTGATTTATTTGGATTATCGGATAGTACAATGCATATTGCTAAGGATATGCCCTCTACATACAGTAGCTCTCACCGAAGATTACCTTGGGCCTCGCCGCACTTCGCTGTGTTATCATCCGAGCGTATTAGTATCAGGCACTCCAATATGTCAATACGGATAACAAAGAATAAAGCGAGACATTATAAGTGAAGAATAGAATAAAGATGAGTAACAAAGTCGTATACAGCCGGTTTTAAACCGTGATTTACATTATCAGAACCAATAAATGCTAACTTGATTCATTTCAATTATAACACTTTGCTAATAATAGGGTGTTGCGGCCAGAGGCGGCAATATTGGGAACTTATGTTTATGTTACTTTAGCGCCATCTGGAGTGTGAAAATCGGAGGTAGTGTAATCGTCGTTGGCGTGGTTTCAACCGAAATCGTTTTGACTTCAAGATAACAACAATGTGAAGTTTCAAAGGCCGATAGGACGCCATCTCTATCGACGGATGGCTAGCAACAAACTTTGCTGAGCTCTATAGTGGAGCTACTATGACGCATTACGCAGATGCCAAATTATCATTATCGGAGTGGGTCCAAGATAAAGCGGCCCTTATAGGGAAAGATTTTTTAACTGCACTGTGGCACCATGTAACGTCGGACCATGTTATTGATCTGATGCTAACTCTTTTATTCTTTCTGAGCACCTTCGCTTCGTTAATGATAATACTTGTAGAGGTGTTGGGTATTCCACTTTTGTGGTTCACAACACTTCCTGATAATGGTAAGCATGACAAAAGCAGAGGCTTGCAACTGTTCAGACCAGCGTAATTAGTCCTTAATAGTTTTTGCTACTTTTTTTTGGAAATTCGATTTTAAATAGAAGTATCTCAGCACCGACTGTACTGTTATTATTATTGTTATTTGTTTGTTCTGGACATCAAATAGAACTTGATGGTTTAAACGGATTTTCTATTTTGAACCCTTTTCCGAATCAGATAATTTCTATAGCGGTAATTAAATGTGTCGCTTACAGGGTCAGCCAGGGCCAATCAAGGCGGCGATGGAAATATACGAGAAATTAGTTCCAGCAGCAGTCATCGTGATAGCTTTAGGAGCAGTCCGGATGAAGGTGGAGACCTTCCACCAGGATCAACTCATCGACGATACTTTGTTCCCTTTTTTCGATATCAGCCCAACGTTGAAGAACGGCCGGTAGCAATATCGCGGCCAATTAGGCCTCGAGGCGTCCTTACACGATCTTCAGTAGCCACCAAGTTATCCGATCGGTTTATATCTAGTGAATCTTCGGAATGATTAACTTAGGTGTCGCTTTGCTAAACACTCTAAAACAATAACTTTATTTCACATTATCCAATTACGAGCGGACAGTCTCAATGGAAACTTCGACGAACTTAATATTTTATTATTAGTATTATTTCTAAAAGCAATACATATACACATACTGCAGTTAATGTTTTGTAGTGGTTATTATATTTCGTAATTGAAGCTGTCTCAACGAGCCTACCTTTTTAGTCTCTATTTCGAGTCCTAGAGTATTAGTCCTTAGAGTGAAAATCATATTTTCATTTACAGGCTTTTATGAAATTATTAGTGCATAAACATTCTAGGGATAATTAGGTTTTTATTGCTGAGAGAATGGGAACCTCTGGTCATCCACAATAATGGTTGTCAGAATACCAAAGGGCAATGGCCTACTATTAGCTTTTAACTACTGGCAACGCAGTAGCTTCTCCCTACAGTGCTGAGCACTGAAACACTGCCCGACAAGTCTAACCCCCCTGTATGAAGTTAATGCCGTCCTTTTCGCGCTGGTGAGATCAATTACTAGGACTATAAGAAGGAAACGTTTGTCTAGGTAAATTCGAGTTTTCTGTGAAATAAAATATATCTGAGTGCTTCGCAATGGTGGCATATTAAAGCTAAGATTCTGCATTGACTCCACATTACTAGTACCCGAAAATTGTCACCAATCTTTTTGTCAGGAGACCTGGGTTTACCTGGCAGCAGAAGTAGCAGTGATTTCTTCTCCTAGGAAACGTGTCAGTAAATGAAGCCAAGTTAAGATCATACCTGCATTCTATTATGAAGTGAACAGAAACCTTTGTACAACGATAAGTGCCACATATAATTTATTTTTCATTCGTTAGATTATTGTTGTAGTTGGTATTTTCCGAGTTTAACTAAGTTACATCTCATTGATTCGTGCGCCATTCAAAAGGAGTGAGTTTTGCACAATGGGGAAGAGCAGTCAATATTTAGCAGACCGAACTAGACAGTCTACCAAAAATAACCACCATAATCTCCGTATCCATATCCCAGATTTCCATATCCGAGTCCATATTTTGCGTATCCAGGGTAGCCATTACGGTATATATAGCCTGGATAGTAACCGGCATATCCCAGACTACCAAAGCCGCCGTAACCGAGGCCATATCCACCGTAAAGAACGCTCCTTTTCGATCGGATTGGCAATTTGTACGAGACCTGAGCTAACGCCTCATCCGTTCCAACGACAGTCATGACCGCGACCGTACACAGGAACACAAACTGAAATCGGTTATTGACACAGCCTACGTAAGCGCTGATCCCGGTGACCAACAAAAGATTTTCCATCAAAAAAAGTCTCGACTCTACTCACACAAGCCAAAGGAACATTACATCAATTCATTGAAGGTTTAGTAGACGCGCATCGTGCAACCATTGCTATTGCTTTCGTGCATGTACGATATAAAACGATACACGTAAATGTATTCGATTCTTTGATCCGTTTGATTTTCAACTTACAGTAAAAAGCAGATTGGTGGCCATGTTGCGCGTTCGCTGATTTTTAGCTTGCTTGTTCTGATGATCTCCTGGTGATTCCTCTGCAATTATATAGTTTTCGTAGTCAATGCCGCGAGAATGGGAGATGGACAATTTCTGGAAACACCAACAGACGAGATAACAGTCCCGTCAAGCGTGACTTACTTATGAAATATTGCAGAAACTATACTTTGTTAGGAGGATACAAATAACAATAGATTTTTACTTGGCGTTTCAATTACTTCTCTACTACACCACGGAAGAGAAACTCACAGAAACATCTTCGTATATTCATTGTTGTCTAAAGAAAGACGTCTTGAGATTTTTATTCGGAAGGCTCCACGATAAGCGTTGCCGGGTGTGCCCCGAGTTGCGCCCACTGAGTCGTGTTATATATTATACCATGGCGCATTGTCTATTATGAATATAATGAAGTACACAGTTGGAACAATTCATTCTCGAATCTGGTAAAGACATCATTCAAGGGTTCATATGATTTGACTGCTGTAAACACCTGTGTAATAGCGGTATCTATGTTAACGATGAACGACAAAGCGTAGTTTCATTTATGACAAAATACAAATTTTTTTACATTCTGTTATGTTTGTGTCATCAGATTTATCATTCAGGTTCATAAAAAAAAAAAAAAAAAAAAACTATACGAATACCTAGGGACTAAATAATCGGTTGGCGCATCACCTTATACCGCTAACTTACTTAGTAACGTAAACGTACTTAGTAACGGCCACCCCATTCTAATGCTCTAATGTAATAGTTTAGAGGATAGATCAGGCGCTAGTTTTGATTTTATTGACCCGAGCCAATGTTCATTTAAATAGCGGTGAACAAACTTTACCAATCTGGAAGTTAGTAAGCTTTTAGCTTGAATGAACGTTGAGAACTATCTGGCTCTGTCCACTCAGTTATTTATTAGTAATTGAGCTGGATTAAGTTTGCTGCCAGCAAAAGTTCTTCCCTGTAGTAAAAGAACTGATCTGAGCTTGTGACAAAATATGAAATATAACATGGCACGAGTCGAAATATAAGATTTTAAATCATGTTAGTAACTAGAGAAATGATTCCATTGTTAGAAACATACAGTGCGAAAAAGATAGGGGCGCCACGCTACCATTGTCCTTCTGAGAGGACAGCGTGACCTAAGCTGGTGATGATAACGTATTTTGTAAATATTCATACAATAGCTCATAATGAATACCTACATAAATATTTTGGTACTGATGGAAAAGTATCGAGTTCTCGTCAACTAATTCGAGTTCGAGTGTTATCTCCTCGATAAGGTTTAGGGTCCATTTTGCGAATAGATTGAGTAGAAAAGTTTCCTTTTCCGGCATCTTGAACGCATGAGGATTCCACGGGACATTACTTCAAAGATATTTCGCTTTCAAGACGACCTCTCCTTAAATATACATGATATTTTTTTGTTGAAATATGCGCTTATTATATAGGTCGCTTCTTTCCAGCGCGTGTTGCGAACGTTACGTTGACAAAGGTAACATTGATTCGTATGAGGAAAAGCTAAAATCATCGTTTCTCATGTTGAACTCCTGTATCGATCAATCTTAGATGGAGAAATTCTAACTATCGTATACGTATACGAGTGATATTCGCGTGCGTGTCATTGACAAACCAAATAAGCTAGCTTTATGGGTAGCCAAATGCCCATATCTGAACCGTGGTTTAAATCTATAAAATATCAGGCCATTCATTCATTAATGGGCTTCACTAGGACTAGGGCATCGCGTAATAGCGATGGACTCCCGGTGTTTACCCATGCTGCTTTTCCTATTATTAAAGAGGAATCACTTTTGTGCAGGATTAACATCTCCAGTTAGGTCGGATCTACTTACTTTATAAGTATCAGTACAACGATGTGGAGGAGCGTGTGCGCGACCTCCTCGTGGTTTTGATCTGAGATTTTTTTTACTTTCTGCTGTAAAAACTTAATCTAAGCCTCTTTTCTAGCTCATGAATCGTTAGTATTGGCTCTTTGTTGATACGTCTGCAACTATGGACTTGATCACTCGTCCTGAATAGATCATGTGTAATTGTGTGTTCAGTATTAAGCAATTTTTGATATGGCCAAAAACGTATTCGATCGCTAACGTCGTATATTTGACAGCTAAGGCCATTTGGCGTACGGCACCATGCCGACACTTACGCACGAGATTGGGACATTTGCCAGATCTGTTTCAGTCATCATAAAGGTTTTAGTTAAGGTGAACTTTTGTCTCTCATTTATCGGTACAACAGCTTGTAGTTTAAGTATGTATGCTAATAGCATGCTGGACGACGGTCGTGCGAACTTGGGTTAACTCGAAAAAGCTTTCTTTGAAATTTTTTAATTAAACCGAGACAAAAATGGCAAGGAATTTCACCAGTACAAACATCGTAGTGGGCCTTTACAATCACCAATGTTGCATGAGCGGCTGAACCTATGCGTGACCCTTGTACATTAGCTTAAATAGCTACACGAAAAATCCCATCGGAAAGGCACTGCAGTATGCGGCCTGGTTGACACCCTTGACATGTACCCCCATTACATGCCGGTTAAGTTGGAATGGTCAGAACGACATTTTAAATTTTAGACCTGTTAGAAAATTTAGACCTGTTTAGGTTGGTACTTTGCGAATGTTCAAATAGTGCGCTTGATGAAGTACGTGAAAGGTACATTAATTGCCCTTCCCTAATACGACACAGGTTACATGCACCGCTAGAGAACTGATGGGGGTCTGGAGTTGAAACATACGCGGAAACATCGCGAGAAACTTGCGTGCGAATGTTTTTCATCGAAATCGAACACGGGAGAAACAATTGGTTATCATTTTATGTTCGAAGGTCGGTCAAAATTTGAGGACAAAAAATTTCTATACCCTATCTGACAGAAAAACTGATCAACTAAGCGGGTATTGTGGCGGCCTCTTCAGATTTGGCACAACAGATTTCTTGACGAAATGCGGTTGCAAAGAAGCCTATGAAATAAGCTTTGGTTAACTATGAAGAGGATTAAGCAAATGAGGCTTTGCAAAGCTTCTACCCTACAAGTCGTCATTTTCGAGTCAATTGGTCGGTCAGTAAAGTGCGGCATACAAACATCGATCATAGCAATGCCTTAAAAGTGACCTCACACAAAATTTGCTATTTCGGTGAAAATTTCATCTTCAACACAGAAAATATCTAACTTATCGATTGGTCACGAATTTTCTGTGTGATTTGTTAGGCAACCACTTCGAGCGGTCGATTTAACAAACGGTAATTACCGACCAATAGCTCTAGCGAGCTTCCCATTTTGAACAGGTCAAAAACCATCTTGCAGTTGTCGTAAAGAGGTCTGCGCTTCTCTTAGACTAGTACACTAGTAGACTAGTAGTCTCTAGACTAGTACAGATTCACTGAACTGTTTTTCTATAGCTTAGCGCAGAGCTTGTAGAGTAACGGCGTCGTTACCAGCACTATCTTGCTGGCGTTTACAAAGTACAGGCATTCCGGCATAGTATACTATTAACAGGATTTTCTCACCCCGAAGGAAGTAACAGCTCTGGCAGACGTTTCGTCTGATCTCTGTAATCTAAGCAGGTAAGTGCCAATAGAAAACGTCACTTCTGCTAGCATTACTCAAAGCTCTATACTAGGACCACATTGTTTTAATTACATGCTAATGTTATTCCACTTTCTATTGACAAAGTACCTCTCATTGTAGAGCAGTCGGATCTGTCAAGTCCGAATCTACAAAAAAGACAGCTTGGGTGTATATATTCCGATCAACTAGTTAAATATACACGTTGACGGCCGCTAAATTGTTTCGATCAATTCAATTCTAAATCACATCATCCGTACTTCGAATGGACCCATCTAGATAGAATGATATGAAATGGGCAAAACCCTTTGACAACCTTTGAAACAGCTAATTGGCCTTCGGTGCCTAGCGCAAACATCAACGTTCATAATGAAAATCCTCTGAAATATATACGTAGATAGTATACTGCGTCTGTTTTAAATCTATAACCGCATCCTAATTGTTCAACTACGTTTAGAGGCTGCCTAAGTATCTTGTACCTTGGATCTCGCTTAACCACTGGTAGTGAGTGCTACAAATGGATTCTGATGCTAGAGAATACCATCAACCAAACAGAATCCGAAATTTCGAAAGATAGTTGTTTTCGACGTGGTGCACACGAACGTACAAACACATTATTCTTTATTATTTCGATTTGCGAGAGATGCCGAGGGGGAGTAATTTACGAGCCCTTACTTTTCTGACGCCAGAGCCCTCGTCAACTCAGGGCAAGTGGACACCCGTGTAGGGCGTTACGCTACCCGTTCACAAACTAAAAATAGAAACCCCACGTGGGCAATTGTCGTGCCGATTGAAACCGTTGGGCACAATGGCGCAAAGTTGATAGGATATCGCGTACTACTATGACTTAACCAACACTCTGGAAGACCTTTATGGAAGCCAGTAAAGCTGCTGGACAAATCCAGAAAAATAAAAAATGCCATCTCATCGCAGCGGTTTTGCCTGCGGAAAATGCCGAGATGGATGCTACCTGTGCACAGGAGATCATTGCGGAAGAACAAATTCATAGGACCTTTTTTGCGACTGGAAAGCAACTCTGAATGAAACCCAATGCATATTTTATTTGTTAACATTCTTATAGATCACTACGATCCGTATACTATTCAAGTTAGTCACTGACAAAATTTGAATCGTTAGATAAATTAATTAATGTATTGTTATTATGATATAAATCTGCTTAGTAAATAATAGACCTAAGATCTTTGTTCGACCGTTATGATACTCGTGCGTAAAAGGCGAGCCTAGATAGGTTTCTGTGATTATAGGAAAGCACGGACGCATATGAGATGATGTAGACCCCCAGTGAATTTTATTTCGTCTCGGGCACAGTCAATCACCACGGTATACGTCAAGGTATTTCGTTGCGCTGACGACGCTCGTATAAGCTTATTAAAGCACATTTATTTTGTTTATTTTTTATTGGCGCTCCTGTGCTTAATAAATAGTATTTGAGAAAAAAATGGCTGCCATTCACTATTAAATGCGTCGAAAAATTGTTGAGATGTTTCAGCCTATAACTTTAAAATTTTCGGCAGTTTTTCCGAAACGAGGAGAGTAGGGATAATTGTAATTCATTGACGTAAGTGTAACTAGCGGCTCGTGCTGCGTTAATGAAACAATTTGCCTCATGTAAACATGAACCTCTCGAAGGACGTTACCAATGGACTCGCCTTGCTAACTCAAGCGACTGACGTTACTTTGCTGTTATTCATTGCCACTCTCTTTTTAAGCTCGCACCCCCTAGTAACTTGCTCGTACGAGCAGTTGAGCATGTAGCACTTCGAAAACAGAAACTGTAGCATCATTCGACAGGATTTAACATAATCAATATATACATATATATATATATATATATATTTTGGGTCCAGTAATCCAAAAGAGAAATATTAGAACGAGAAATATTGAAAATGAATAGTATGTATTGTTGTTTTTATGAAAATAGTCGTAAATAGTTGGATATAAGAAGTGGCGTCTCGACTGAGTAGGTATAGGGGCGATAAGGTAAAAATTGATAATTTATGCACCTGCAGTATCACGGAGTTGGACTTCTATAGAGCTATTCTTGGATGGTGTCGTAATTAGGATTTCAGCCCCGTAAGTACGGTTGCGACGTGTGTTCACCCTAACCTTCTTTTCTATCGATCTAACTTAAACAACGAGTACAAACTCTTATAAGTTTAGGCATTTCTAGCAAAGGTAATACGCATAACTTTACAAAAGGTTTGCCTAATGACATTTACCAAAACACTTGTGGGGTTGTATGGCTGATCAGTCCTATATCCCACCGTGCCCGTAAGTTGAGTAACTACTATTACATAATCGTTTACCTTTTAATATTCGCTGTTCAGTCACTGGATGCATTTTTAAGACTTTCCAAACAGGGTAAAAAACCTTCGTTACGCATAGTCGTTGGGTAAATAATTGTACCCTTAGAGATGTTTTGTTACTGTTTGAAACTGGGTATCGGCAACGCCCGATTCGTTAGAATCGCGAAATCCCACTCTGCCTGTTTGTTCTTTTTTTTGCTGACAGGATTTCTTGCGTCGCCATCGAGCGGCAATTTGAGCTATAAATTCCAAAATAAACTTTTTGCGCCAGTTATCAACTGGTAATAGCCAGAGAGAGCCTAGGCGTAACATCACACGACCGAGCCATGGACATCTCCGTTTTAGGTATGACTCAAAAGCAGATCTCACTGAAAGTTTATACACCTGAAGTATGCGGCATTCAGGACATTTTTCATATTATAGAGCAGATGTTATTATAAAGAACGGTCGAAAAACTTGCTCGTTATTGTTCCCCGTTACGCACTCGAGCATTTAGGAAACGCTTTTTTTTTTTTTTTTTTAATAAATTTTCGGCAATTAAATCTTTACAGTTATGCAAAGATTAATTAATCAACTTAAAGCATATTTTACTCAACAGGTCGATACAACAAATCGTCAGAAAGGTCATACTTCTTTCGGATCATTGAATCAGTACCAGAAGCTTATCCGGATGTCTTGAATACCGCGATGATCGATACTGTGGTCGGACGAAACATGCATTGAGCATATATATACTTGGTGGATACATACCAATGCTCTTTGATTTTGGGGATTCTTTTGTAGTAACTGGGAAGTTATACGAAAGTAAATTATACGTTCCATTATGTGAGCCACTAATCCTATTATCGAACATAATGCGCGCTAACTCGCAGGCCCTCACAAACAGTGAGGGATCGTCAATAAGGTTTGCTATATCTATATATGTAGAACACTGCCTCATATCGGAATTCGCCGCTTGTTTTTTCGAACTCTGTCAAAAGTATTGTTGGCATACAAGGCCACTACGCGCGGCCACTACACGCGGCCACAGTTCCTTTTTAGGGCAACAGGACTCAGATGCTGTTTCGAATAGATAAAAAAAATTCAGATCACTCAGCAAATCAGCCATTCCTATCAGAAAGTAATGCTTCGAAAAGATAAGCGTCAGTCGAACTGACTGTGCATTTGTCTACTTCTGACTTAAGATGGTTTTAATTTCAGACTCGTCAACTTTTTCTAACCAAGAAGTCTTGGAGGTCCAGATTTAAGCCCATGGACCGTGTCTAAGGGCGACTCTGGTCGAACAGACATCACCCAAAATGCCGCTAGTGTTGAACCATCCTCTACAAATAAAAAAAGACTTGTGCACGGCACCGGGCTTGCTTGAAGTAACAAATCGCTCCCAATGTTAGTTACGTAGACTGAAATGAATCGTCAGAAATGCGAACGTTAGAAGAACACAGTTATAATTTTTGAGTGAAGGACACGATAAATATTATGACTGTTTTGCTCGCATTTAGCTGCACCTGAAAAAGGATATATAGGCTGTGTAGGATATAGAGGTGTATATAGGGGCTGATATATATGTTGAGAAAATCTAATCTGGCGACCTTGAAGTTAACTAGTTTGGTATGTCTTTAATATTATAATGTTAGAAGTAGTCTCCTTTTTAAGCGCTTAACATAGCAGTCTGGCAACTTGTGCCACATACCTACTATTCGTATCCCATATGTAGTTTTTCTATCTATGACTTCCCGATGTAAGTTGATATTGGAATATGCTTGTCTGCCAGTTCTTCTGCTAGGTTATGAAAACCCTACGGATTTAGATCGGTGAACAAGCAAGTTAAAGCCAAGGTAGAATTTCGCTCTATTCAATCTAGTAATTGAGACATGTCAATGAAGACGGCGGTGTTATCATGTAAACATACTGCGTGCTTGGTTATAGTTCTGTAGCATAGTACACGTAAAACGCTAGTTCGACACAATAGGTCCTTTTCGAGTGTTGCTTTAGTGAAAAGCCTTCTTGGTTGGGGATATGCGTTCCTGTCGCTCGGATCTTGATTTCGACTCACCTCCTCACTGGTCTTTGACACCGGAATCTTCGTTCCTGAAACGTTTGTATCCTGAAATGTTTTTAAAATCTTCACTGAATTCCGCGCCGCCTGAGCTTTTGAGAAACAAAAACTTGATCATTGAATGTTGATTTTCGAGGCTACAAGGTGTTTGTCTTACTAAACAGATTTTTCCATGAGTAAATTCGATGGGCTTTCATAGATGAATCTCTAAAACACTGGGTAATCTACCAGTCACATTTAGTCTACTAGTGGGGCACAGCTTAAATATTCATTCAATTTCAAAGTCCGCTGGATTCACCCGTATTAGCCTAATAACCCAGTGCTTTCGAGAAGATACTTAGCCGTTTGATTTTTTTCTCGTTGATGAACCGGCAACACTTGACACTTTTTACGGCTACGGCTATAGCACTGTCCCTCCCTCTGTAAGACTCTAATCGTTAGAACCTTCGAGTGACCGATTCCGTCACGTTCGATTTCCAAATAGTACAATATTCACGAGGCCAACGTTCTCTGAATGCAGTCTCCTGGAACCCATTTCGTGTCCGTATATAATAAATACCTAGGTAGCGGTTTGGCGATACTACCGTCAGAGATCCAAATTATAGCGTTTGCAAGGTACAGAGGATTCTCAGTCGATGTGGCAGTAATACAAGAATAATTATATATATTAAGTTAATTATTATAATATAATAATAATAATTATTATATATTAAGTAATGAGAATCGATAGGTTTATTGGAATTAGATGGGGTTATATATCAATTAGAAAAAAAAAAAGCTGTCCATTGTCTAACGTCAGAAACATGCGCTTGAGACCTTGTTTAAAGTTCTCAGCTTTGACGTGTATAAGATACTGATTCGGTATAGCAAGCATTGCCTAATGTTGTTTAATGCTGATATAGAAGAGATCATGATAGAAGTGTAAAATTAAAGCCCGAAATATTTTTCCAAAAATATAACGTACCTTATTTTCACCGCAATATTTATTCAAGCAAGCAAACAAAATGCCACACTGAAAAAGGTGTACGACGAATGAAAACAGTCCGACATAGCAGCATAGGCCGAACCGTAGTTTTTTTTTTTTAACATTTTACATTTTAACATCGTGCTATTGTTAACAATGTACCCTAATCTCGGGTACATTGTTAGCAATAGCACGGACGTCCAACTTAGCAAGCTAGCCCATATTAGTTCTATTTAAAATTGAACATTTCATCAAAGGCCTGAACTGCAATACGTATCGTATTTTAGTGCAATAATTAGGAAAATCTCTTCGATCGTAAAGCAATCACTGAGGGTATTTCCGCTCAATGCCCATGTTCGTTTGAGCATACAATTCATTTTTAGTATGTAACAATGGATTTTCAATAATATAAGTTCAATTTTCTAACGTGCCTACCGTGTCGACCCTCTTCATAAAACCGTCACTTTTGTATGGAGATTGTATACGAATTGCTTTAAATTGCTTTGGGACGCCAACGTGACATACATGTCTATGTAAATTCATTTAACAGGATGCAGCCCAGAGACTATTTAAAAAGACTAATTTAACACGTTACGAGCAAACTGATACATGCCTCATATAACAGTCACAGCAAGCGATATTGTGGAAATTCAGAAAAATTTTCATAAAAATTCAGAAGCTTGTAATATCGATGATCTATACAAATGGCCAGCAGAACTACATCCACAGAACATTCCGCTCGAAGAACTACAGATAGGATATACTGCTGCCGTACCGGCAGTACATTTTTCGCAGAATTTCTCAAAATTGTTTTGTATAAAGACGAATAAGTATCATATATTTCAATTCAAATGCTTACTCTAAACTAAACATAAAGTTAATTAGGGATTAAGACCTGTATTGTTAAAACTATTTTCTTTTGTACGAGTCTTTAGAACAAAAAAAATTTGTTTGAAAACTCGGACTTATCCTAGTTATGTAAGGTCCGAATGAAACATACATACAAATTTTACATGTTTTAGAGGTTTTTCAATAGTTGTCGAGATTGGACCCATTGGGAGCGACTTATTGAAGCGTCCCTGTGGTGGTGCGTTACTGCTAAATGGAAAAAACGAAAAGAGGCGGAAAATATTAGTCCGAAGTATGTGAGTGGCTAAGATAACCACGTCCAGTAAAAATAGGGCGCAATAGTGCTCGGGAGTATTCGGCCTAAAGAACCTGAAAATTACGTAGTAGTATATTGATTGCTCTACTGAACACTGACCGCTACATAATGCGACTCGGTGTGGCTTCATAAACACCCTATTTTTACATAGAGCTCTAAAATGAGGCTATTAATTAAAAAATTATTAACAAAATTAACAAAAACATATCCCTTAAAAAAAGAGGTGCGTCGCCTTTAACTTGGAACGTTCCGAAAAACCTGTTTTTGCCTTGGTTGCGCAAATTCTATCTGAGGTTGTTTAAAGACTTGTTTTAAAGTTTTGGATATATTATCAGGACTACATAACTAAGTCTGATTGGCACCAACGTTTAAACCTTAAAGCTTATTCAAGGTTACTTGCATCTTTTATTAGCATTTGATTAAATAATTGTTACTTTTTGGCCTTCGGAATCCTGGGGGCACCCCATTTTTCCTTTTCATGAGCTTTTTGCAAATAGAACAATTCTAAGAAATACACTTCTACCTAACCCGGCACAGTGCTTTTTTCTCGGCTCTGTAAAGTTTCTAAATTTGCCCTTTCCCACACTCCTGCAGCCCGGAAAGCGAGAGGTCGTGCACGGGAGTGTGCAGCGAATTGTCATGGATAGTTTAGCTTATTTTGGCCCGTCAATTCTTCTGTCTTTAAAGAAAAGGACTTCTTGTCCAGCACATCCGTTTGATGCAACCTACTAGATGCTCGAATTGCAAAGTTTGCCGGTATGTCAGGTAGGTTACGAAGGCCAATGGAATGGAAGTAAAAGGGACACGCACCGTGTCTCTCACACTGATATCGTATAAGTAGTAGATGGTTAGCTTCGTTGCCGTGGGAGATTAGCTGCTTATAATCAATTGCCATTGCTGGGATACCTGAGTTTTAGGCAGAAACAGCTGAAGGCGGATAAGTGTCACAGGGGTCACACACATGCTCTCCTCACACGGCGCATGAAAAAGAGGTCATAGAGTGTAGTCAAGCTGAGATGGAGGAGGGCCGTGTGCACGCCCTTGGAAAGGGCAACTGAGTCCTGCAAACGGCTCTCTCCGCAAATACTGATGCTTTCGGTGCCTCTCTCTCGACTTCACGCCCCCCTCCCCATATACGTGCCTCGTCGACTGCTTGTTTTGGGTTTGTGTTGCAGCTGCTGCTGCTACTGGTAGCTGTCTGTCGGAGGTAGAGAAGTAGTGGTGCGTCAAGCGGGGCGGCTTTCCGTGCATTGGCCCGTAAGTGGATCAGCTGCTCCAATGAAAGCAGGAACAAACCAACCTGCTTTCGTATGTGTATGAGCTCCAGACTTGATTGTTAGTTGTCCCTAGCCCTACCGAGACCATGAACGGTGAAGGCAGAATCTGGCGGTATGGTTTCAATACCGATTATACATGATCCGAGCCCATGCTGGCGGCTATCGCAGTCGCCTGGTCTCGCCGCGGAGCCAGCTGATCCTGGCAACGACAGGCATATTGGTGCTCGAACGATGATGAGCAGATGAGAAGGACGGAACGACAAGGCAATGCAGTTATCGGGGCCGATGTCGATGTAGGTAAGCAGATAGAACGCGCTCAGCCGCATTGCGAAAAAAAAACAACAACAGGAGAGGCAGAGAAAAAGCGACGGGCTTTTCACGTCTCGGGTGCCTGCCTAACAAATTTTATCAATCGTTGTTTTGTAAGAGAGCCTTGATAATATAGCATTTCTATATCATTCTTTGTGGTTAAGATGTGAGTGCATTGCTGTATATGAGACAGCTTGTTCTTCATCTAACTCCCTAGGAAAATAAATGCAAACGAGAAGTAAAGTTATTGATAGACTGATGACTTAGCACGGAACTTTAACAGCATAAAGTTTTTCCGCACGCATGTTGAAGGGGTACATGCATACGCGTATAATCCATTGTTGTTGAGCCTTAGGGTTTGCGGCACATTTACAGTAAAGAAGGAGAACTTCCGGTGTGAAAAGTTACGAGTGTATTAATACATAGCTGAGAATCACTCGCTACACATAATGGTGTCACTGATAAGCGAGATATTATCAAATTTGAAGTTCCTGTATCATTGTAGCGTGACATATAGTTCACTTAGGGAAGACATAAGCTGACTTTTTCAAGTTTACAGATACAAAGCAACAAGACGAGAGTGCACTTTGAAGAACGCCTGAGTGAGGCGTTAAACATTTACCCGGGTTCTACCCCCTAGCCTACAGCAGTAATTTAATGGTCTAGCGATGATGAGTTCACATCGAGACCGACTGCCGGTACCGGCTCCCCCACGTGGAGATATTAGCCCATGGTCGGTATTGAAGCAGTCCGTGGGCAAGGAGTTAACCCGAGTTACCATGCCTGTCGCCTTCAACGAGCCTCTGAGCTTTCTGCAGCGAATCACCGAAAACATGGAGTACTACCCGTTGCTCGTGCAAGCCGACAATAACGACGATCCCGTAACGCGGTTCGAGGTAAAATACCAACTTTCTTAAATTATGCACGTACTTATCTCAGTGAAGAAAATACAGTCAATACTATTAATTGTCGTCACGGCTATTCGTACATAACTGCCTTACGTGCAATATACGTAGATGAATATGGTATTGGAACTGTTTAATATTTTACGGTATGATTTGAGCTTGTACAGCTAGGTACGTAGATGTGCGCAGAGCTAAGTTAATATGTAGATGTCTCTTGTCACAGTTATGTAAAGTAAGATTTTGTTTCATTTTATAGTTGAGTGTCGAAAAATTTCAACTGGCTAAAGATACCTTTTAATAGAATGTTTGTTTGATTTCAAAATCGATCACCTGCCCCACTGCAGTGGTCTGGCCCCAAATCATATTTGCAAAAAACACGCGTTTTTGGATCTGGGGTGCTTATAGTATAATAAGAGTGACGTAAGTTCGAAAACGTATTGCATAGTAGAAGGTGCTTCATTCGAGAAATTCCATCCGAATTTAAGATGGATACCTGTTTTCCAAGCAAACATCTTCTTGGCTACTACGCAATATGTATATAAAAGCGTCTACTAGTATCTCTGTAATTGATCAGAAAAGCATTCAAGTACACTGAATAAACTTGACCCTCTCCGCCCTTCCCTTCTTCTATTCGAAACGATCTTATTGCAGTAGCAAATTAACTTTGCACTTACACGTCTGGACACGTGCCCAGTCATAACTTAATAGGAATGGCAAAATGCGCTGGTTGCCAGTTCCTCATGCTACCAAGCAAGTTACGTATTGATTCTCACATTCGTTCCTTGTCCGTAGTTCCACCGATCCTTTAATTGATTTCACCCTATTTATTCCCCCCTTTCCCTATTTCTTCCCCATCATCTGCGCACCAGTCTTACAGATGACCTACCTTCAGCCGATGGGGTCGTAATCCAGTGTCTAATTACATGCAAGATATCCCTTGTCCCGCACGAATTTCACATAGGCCAGGGTACAATGAAATATCGGTCACAAGCGGGCAGACGTGACAATCAGGCAAACCCAGAAAGGACATACGTTTTAGGGATACAAACGCTGACAGCCCTGAAGAAAGCGTATTGAAAGGCGCATATCACTATGACTAGGACCGTTTCAAAAGTGCTTCTCTTGGAAAATGTAACCTTGGTTTTGTGACGCTCATTACGCGTGTGGCGATGCGTAGTCCATCGTAGGGTTGTTAGGCCAGCGTCAGTTTTCCTTAGTACTGTCACATGTTTATGAAGGACTAAAGGTACCAGAAGGGAAAATTTGTTTGGAAAAGCGCCTTTTCAACAAAGACACCTGACAATATATGTTCAACTTGAAACGAAATCGTCTAAGACACCATCCATGCCACCAGGATGGGACAAATATGGTGAGCTTCTCTGTTATGCTCTGTGATTCGGGAATTGAACTGTCCAAAAAGACTATGTAAGACGACCTATATCTTTTCTTGTTTCAGCTGGTGACCGCATTTATAATCTCAAATCTGTCTTCCAACCTCGATCGTCTGAATAAGCCTTTCAATCCTCTACAGGGGGAAACATTTGAGCTGCAGCGCGATGACTACTCTGTTGTTTGTGAGCAGGTATTAACATGTCTATCCGTGCATTGTACATTTGAAAACGACACATTTACGCATCTGTACATATATCAAAAGATCACATCTCGTTTGGTAATAGGGGAGATTAGCTCTGGTACGCACGTTACAAGCCACAATTGGAAACACCCGCTTGTATTAAGACAAAGTTTACAAACGGTCTGTAGCTGAGTAGAAACCTCAACTTTATACAATCTTATCTTAGCTACTTTTATATATTTTGGCAACCTTGCCAAAAGTATATTCCAGTATACATTTGAAGGCCAGCCATGTTTATACTTTTTGCTGCCTTCAGTCAGTTTTATTGGCGTTCCTTATCCCAAAATTTTCGTTCTGCAATCATCCCTTCCCACGGTTTCTGGGTTTGGCTGCACGATGACAGGGAAGGGATTTGGCTGGAAGTGTCTAGGTGTGTACGTATGATTTCCACAGCTCAGCGTCTTGAATTTTTTCAAAATAAGTGACTCGTTCCAGTTTTTTCCAAATAGGCAGTAGATGTTATTGGCAGACGTAGTAAAAAGTTACCTATATATATATATACATACGAAGTTGTATAGTTAGGTGCCATTGAATTACTCTGACCTATATCTAACATATCAGCCTGTTCGATTTCGCGTTTGTTAAGACTTCGACAAACATAAAACAGACATTGCTCTATTACTCTTCCGGAGCATTTTGTACAACAGAAGTTATTCGTGTGTATTTCAAAGTATTCCATAGACCCACAGCTGTGGATAAACTTCTTCGTCAATTCTGGTTTCCTTAAAGAGAACTCCAACGCTTTTTCCAAGCACATAAAAATCACCAAGAATAAGTTCGTATTCTGAATGGAAATAAAAATATGATCCAATGGTTACTGTCATCAGCGGCCCGGAACACAATAAACGGTGGAAAATTTGCAGTAGTAGAGATGGATGATAGGCCAGCGGATTTAGCCTTAATCACCACTGTGTAGTACGCGCGGGCCTACAATTAATTACAGGTATGTTGAATGATTTTTCACGAGACATTTTGCGACTCTCATATACTGTCACAATAAAACGATGTGTATTCAGGTATCTCATCATCCTCCTGTCTCGGCGCTGCATGCAACGTCACCTCACATCATTTTCGAAGCAAACATCTGTCCCAAGCTACGTTTTTTGGGAACTCAGGTCACTATTAAACCTGAAGGTGAGCCACCTGAATCATCAAAACCCGAACTAAATTCGTCAACAATTATTGTTCGTGCCAACTTTTCGATTTGAAACAATCAGCTCTGTAGCCCGTAGCTTTCTATTTTGTTTGATATCCCTTAGTTGAATTAACTATTACATTATAAGCCAAAAAACGCCTGCAGATGCTATTGAAGTAAACTGAGAATTCGGTGCGGCATAGGGGGTGCCACGATGATGAACAACAGGAGATTTCAAATACATACGAAACGCCTCAGACCCTGACGACGTCGTTTAAGATGACCTATTTTCGCATCAAAAGCAACAATCACTTCAGACGTTTAATGGTCAATGTATTCGGGTTTATTTGTTCTGTTGTAAGTACGATCGTTAGATGAACTTTCGTTAAAAAAATGGAAACGAAAATCTTTTTTTTTTTTATATATATATATATATACACACACATTTATATACGTATAAGCCTGTGCAAATTCGGGGCATCATTAGGTGTCTGTAGTTGAAAGTTATCGTAGCCCAGGCTTCGGGGCCAACGTATTTAAAGCGTATCCAAATCAGAAAAAAAGCAATTTCCCATTATTTCCTAAAAAAAAATATTTCCACCTATCGGCGCATGTTGGTTGAGTTTTGTAATTTAGACGCTTTTTCAAAAGTTGAGATATAAAGATTGAAGACGATTTGTTTTCATCAGTATACCGTATACATAATGCAAGAGGCTACCGGTAACTTAATCATTCTTTCAAATATATGTAATCGATATAAACTTATCGCTCGTCATCCTGCGCTTCCGTCATTGATTCTGCAAAAACCCGTGATTTTCGATAGAATGTACCAGCTGCAGCAACGACTAATTACACTCTACTGTACATAGAAATGGGTCTCTTGAATTTGCGGTTGACTTTTTTTATGATGATTAACGTGCCGTAACTTAGATCGGCTTCCGCAGTAACGATTGACGACAAAAATGGATAGATCACTTTAATATGCAATAGAGCTAATTCCAAGTGGTCATGCTAATTGTGTGCCTTACCAATTTCTCTTCGGTACAATTTCGCTTCTGTTACGTAAGCTAGTCCGTAAGCCACAAGGGATCAAGGAGCTCAAAATCATGCAGCATGATATGCTTGTAAGCTACCCCATTCGGCGTACCTTTATTATGGTTGTTTTTACGTTTCGTGTTGCGGCCTGCTATTACCGTTAGACATCTCACTAGACGTCTGGTAGAGAATACCTATTTTGTTCTGACTCACCGTTTTTATTTTGACCAGAATGCTCTCATTTTTTACCTTTCCGTTTGGTCAAATTGGTCAAACAGCGTAGAACGTCCGGTGGTCCTCGATAGTGCTGCGAGATGCACAATTTTAACGTACACATAGTATAGCTCAATGAACTAGATACTGCCCAGAATGAAATACCAGACCTCAGAAATGTAATGTCTAATACGTACGTGTGGTAAATTCGAAATATGGCAAGCATGTAGATTATATATATATATATATATATATATATATATATATGCATCTACACAACAATAGATAACATGCAAAGTCTTTCCGTAGCAGTCAAACCAACATATGAAAACGAAACGCTTTCTCAATAATTTGATTGATTGGAGAAGGAGTAGTGCATAATGGCTTTTTGATGATGTTACAAAGTTTGTTCTGGAGAAGTTCAAAAAGCTTCAGCTAAACCTTATTCTATTAGTTTTTTGTAGGGCCGACGCACATAGCCAGCATTTCCGGAACCTCACTTGCAGGAAATCAGTTATCCGGCAAATATTTTAGCCGACGTTAAAAAAGGAAGCACTTCAAATGAGCATACGTATAGTTTTCTGGCAAAAGTTAACAAATGGGCTTTGAAGCTCAGTTACAAACACTAATAACATTGCACGACAAAATGGTGTCGAAGTGAAACGTCAGATCAGCAATATCGACCGACCACACGACCCGTACTGAAGATACCGTTTTTTTTTTCGTTTACTTCATTTTTTGTTACTGAAATGTACGCTTTTTCGGAAAATCTCTATAAATAAACGTATGACATAACGTTTGGGCACCAGTCGAGCGTCAACCCTTTCGCAATCAACGGGACCGTCAACGTTTCCTAGCTGAAAGCTATCTATATTTCAATAGGACCTTATCAAAGCAGCTGCCTCGGAAACATAAGGGCAAACATAGCATTTTTGATGCAGCGTTCAGATATTAGAAGAACTTCGATCTTACACTCATAGAATTCTATCGGAACCGACTCTTCCCGATTAAGTCACACGTTGTTCCGATTTTCGGTATTATGCCCTACAGGAAATGCTTACAGCGTACTGTAAACAAAAATAGTTCTGTCACAAGGCTACCTTTAGTAAGGACATACATGACGGAGATTTGATACTGCTTCAATGTTCAAAAGCTCAATACGTTTCGTATTCAGACGCAAGCGATATTAATAATAATAAAATTCAGTCATTTCAGCTCTATAAATAGTCGATCTAACTTCAAGGTAGACTACTATTGACGGATCTTGATTTGTAGAAACTCTACAATATTTAGATTAGTGATAAATACTTTTCTCTGCACCCCAAAGTACAGCGAGTGGCAGAATATGGAATATCCCAAAAACCACACTAGAAACACTGAAAAACACGAAAGACTGTGTAGTTGCTGCGCGTGGATGTGGCCAAATTGAGCTCCTGAAACGTCCTTAATTCGTGGCTTCGTTCTTTTGACACTGGATGTTGCCGCAAGATGGGTAACAGCATTTGTCTCAGTCGGTTGAAACGGTAAGCAGCTGACACCCCCTAGGTGAATATTTAAGGATTTTAAGCCAACCTATCACAGTCCTGTCAGACAGACACTTGCTTAGTGGATTGCTTCATAGACGATTTGCACATGAAGCTTTCTTTGAGGTTTATTCTGTTTCAGAAATACCTTGTGAGGATCATTTGGAATCGTAGCAATGTTTTGTGCAAGGCTACGCATGCACCGCACCGATTCACTCATCGCGAGCCTCAGCGACAAGTAATGGGCTATTTTTAACTGCAAGAAAGCTTGATTGTGTGCACAGGTCCTTCATCCCTTTTCATTTGTCAGCTCCTCTATGTCACCCATAAAGTGATCCTAAAATTGCATAATGGTACTGTGTACTAAAATAGAAAAGTATGTTGATTTATTAATTAATTAATTAATGTTTTGCCCAATTTGAGATACACTGGGTTAGCCTTCTTGATAATACAGCGGCCGCTTCAGGGATGGATATACGGATACTCTAGGTGGAAATTGTTTACTGCGTGATGTCGGCACTAAACCGTAAATAGACAATAACTCCACGAGGACGGTTGGTGGGACTTAACGGTATCGAAGTAATTATGCCATATGCACCGGACCCAACTTCAGAGAGTTCACTTTATCCTCAGTAGAGACCTGACTTTACCGTGTGCTGCATGGTTTACTGAACACAAGGAGTTATCGTACGCTTCTACATCTAGTGATCGAGCCATGTTATCATTTCGAATTAGGTCAGTGTTGAAATATCATATATCTTAGGTTGTCGATTCGCTTTTAGTATCTATCAACGTTGAGTGACTGGCTACATTAGCTACCTTTTTTATACTATCCTACGTTGTACACGTGTTAATGGTATTTTCAATATTAATCTACCCAAGAGTATCATATCTGTCAGGTTGACATATTTGACCAGTGACCAATATGTCGGCAGTCGGCCGTTATTTCCATAATTTCTCTTATAATAGATATATAATGTTGTGTATACCAGGCCTACAATTTGCACGTGACATGGCCAGTAAATGAATCAAGCTTTGATAGTTTATATGGTTTTCCATAGGAAAATCTAACCTCCAGAATGCGTCAAACGAGTAACTAACTTTGCCTTGGTAGCTTAGTGCTCTTTTGAGTAAATTCGTTCCCGAACCGCCTTTGGCGCAGAGTTGCGCTTCGTTTGCTTATAAGCGCACGAATGAATCGATCTTGAACGACAGTGGCCGGCTCTAGTGGGCATCTGTGTGTTGCGTTCTCAGCTATTGCTGCTACACATATTCGGGGTGAATTTTATTTTGTAAACATACGATAAATTAGTAAATTGTAAGCTTTCGACACAAGGTTAAGTGACTTCTGCCCATTTTTTGTCTCTTCCAAGATTTTACCGTACATTTATTGACTTCTGGTTTTGTCGCGCTCCAAGGCTTATCAGAGACGAGAGTTTACTTGCAAGCAAGCAAATCACTCAAGCATAGAGAACCGATGTGGGTATTGGCTGAGTTAGGAAGTCATGCAAAGCCTCGAATCTATTTTTAGTCAAAGGGAAATCGATCTTTCTCACAGCGAGAGAAGTGACGATAGGCCTTAAGGAGACAGGAGAATGCCATGCGGGGAACTTGTCGTATTGTTCAACACTAACGATAGGCTCACGTAACTCAGAGGGACGCCAGGATTCTAAAAACCGTGTAAGATCGTCGGTACGTGGACACAGGTGACCGAGCTAAAAGTGAGAAACCCATCATCACACCGCTCTATGTCCTGAAGAAACGTATTCGATGAAATATGTTGGGACTGCACATAGGCTAGATACTTTAAATGGAGACATACAGTTGTACATGTACATGCACAAAGGCTAATCAGTTCGCCCCTTACGTATACCGTATACGTTCGTACCCTGTGGAAGCTATGTTTAGCTGATAGGGTTTCTACCCAGAACTCAATTATCGAACCTAACTCTTCCGATTTTAGCGGCTCTCTCGTTTATTTCTAGACTAGTGAGCAGGGCCATGGTTGGCCTAAAGAGTCAGGCTCATCTATCAGTAGATCAGCTTGTAATACTGGTTTAATGAAGCCAATAACTTTAGAGATAATCACAAGGGCAGAAAAAATGTCGAATTCGTGATCTCGAGGTGAGAAATGAAAGCGATAGAAGGTTTGCACCGATGAATATACGCCATTATAAGATCGTACGTGTCCATAGCACTTCTCGAGTGAGTGCTAGCATTAATCATTTTATGCACGGTGCATAGTACTCATTCTCCTCGTAAACTGGTATGAGGGGCATGATATCGACGGGCACGTTATGGCTGATTAAACTCCTGATGTCCGTACGTATCGATTATATCTGTAAAGTAGACTGGAGTTAATGATGGCTAATCACACACGAGTAGCTTTTGAAATTCTCTTTATAGCTATGAGCTCTTTATTTTAAGTTTTCCGTCCGGTATCGCTGTTAGGCGTTCCCCTAGATGGGTGGTCCCTAACACGTAACCCAGTGTGTCTATGACCAGGTTCGCACCTGGACTACGACGTGTTATCAGGCAAATACGTTACTCACTAAGCTATGACGAGGACCTGTTTTTAGCTCGTTTAGCGGCGAACTATTGCGATGTAAACATTACGATCGTTGTACTGTTTACGTATAATATAGATGATAGATAATCCTTATCTATTATCTATATTGGCAAATTTAACGTGAAAATATTGTAATGAGATGAGGCTTGAATATCATTCGACTAAGATTTTTATGCTATAATGGACAGGCCGTAGTAACGAAATTACCCAAAAATGTTATGAAACCATGCTGCCTGTTTTTTTCTTACTGCACCTACTCTATCATAAATGGTTCCGCTTAAACAGATCTGAAAAGATTGGGCTATGTGGAGCAAGGATAATGTGGGCTATATATTAATTTAAAATTTTAATTTTGTAAAACTTTTCAGATGTACATGGGTCAAAACTTTGGTTTTTTTTTGTGACCAAGTCTCAAAAAGTAGGTCCATATAGTACAGCTAGGTATTTTTTCGTGTTTCATCGAACTTTTGTTAAATACGCAGACTGGAGACAAATTACGTTTTTATATTATATGACCTCTACAGGCTGGAATAAGGTGAGGTTTTTCAGCCATAGCATTCTTCATGTGTATACAAACGTCTGTCGTCGATGGTGTTTTTATAGAAAAATCGGAAAAACTAAGTAGTGTGTTAAGGTGCATTAAAGTGTTGTAGTTTTGCGCTCGTTACGCTAGACATATCGTATATAATTGTTCTTAGGTAAATTTTCACGACTCTATCGGCAAGACGCATCGTTCGGACGAAACAAAAGTACCTATAAGTGAATCACATTATAAATAATCGTGATATTAGGTCAGACTTTCGATGAATAGATAGCTTTGCGCCGGGATCATCTGTAACGACGATAGTCACACAAGTTTCAGCTGGATGAAGTTGGCTGTGGATAATTGTACTTAGATTGTTACTGTCCTTCCCATGTTCTCGAGTCAACGACAACTTAAAAACAAATGTGCCAGTACTCGGAAAATAATTTCGAATTGCGCAATAGAACGCAATATGGACCTGTGGTAAACAAATCACAATATTCGGCGTGCCTGGCCAGTAGACAATTCAAAACATCGGTCTTACTAGCCTCTGCCACAGCCTCATTTTAAACAAAAATTCGTTTTTTTTTTTGTGAGTGACTGACGTTTTCGCTCGAAACTATTGGTGGCCCACATAAATTATTAGTCCACCGCCATTAAATTTAGCACCCATTTCGCCATGTTTGTTTTCTTTTCACGGATAGCCCACAGGCTCATCCACTTAATCTAAATGTATTCTGCGTAATATAAGAGGCATTACTCATCCATTCAGGTTCATTGAAGCTTTGCTTTTTACCGACCACGGCGGCATCTTCGTATATCTATCGTCATCTATTGTCACTGTAGCCCAAGGCAATTATGCCTCTTCTTTCCACACATTGCTCTCCCGGGGCTTCTGCCAATTAAACGTAATAACGTCTACACACTGATATGCTTGCAACACGTGATGTGCTAGCTGTCTTTTTATCGAGGGCGCTTTTTGCTAATCCATCGGCCCCCGCTACTTTCGAAACCTTCACCATAGACCACAGCGAGCAGATTGTGTCCATGAGCCGGCTTTTGGAGAATGACCACGCCCGTGTTGATAAAGAAGCATCGTAGCGGCTCGCCTTAGTATGCACGTTCCCGTGCACGATTGGCGCCCATTTTGACCATTTCATCTCGATTTGAGGGCGCTATCAACGACCTAAGGAGAACTATTGTAATGTGAGCGGTATTTTGGATGACGTACCCAATATTTTCCGATCTGCCTTCATGTTTGCTATAGATCACTTCACATTTACTTTGCCAAGGGCTAGGCCCTTAAATAGTGCGAAGTTCTGAGGGAATACCTTAGCAAGATTATTCCTTGCAGAAACAGGCGCGTCGTCGACGAGCCAGCGATAAAAAAATTCGTTCCACGTTCTAACATTAACTAGTGTATTCGAACAGTTATTTCCTTCTCAGATAGCTCAGGAGACCGTGCTAGAACACCATTGATTCATGTTTGACGGGGATTTCAGTTTTCGAGCAGAACGAATATGTTGATGATACCTTTCAAGCATCGAAAACATCCACTCGGACGTTGCAATATCGGCCATTTTTTTAATTACCTCCTACTAAAAATGTTTGATATACAGCTGATTTTCTCACGCTTTTACTGTCGCATTTTGGGACAGATCGTGCGGATCACAGTCGCTTGTATTACAAATCTTGGTTCTAGTGAATATAGGAGGGCCATATTATTTTGACATTAAGCCGTCTTGCCTTATCCTAGCATAGCGATAAAAAAAAAAATAGCCGAATTTTCGCTTCTGGATATGGGGTTGCAACCATCCATTTGAATATTTTTATGCACCTTTTCTGTATTAGATGCTCAGCTAAAAATGGGCTATACTTAACTCACTGGTGCCCGCCAATAGGCTTACAAGACAGGGCCATACAGCAGGGATTTCACGACGCGAGAACGCTCCATCTAAAATACCTCGTATTCATGGTTGTTTCAGCGAGCTAAGCTGCAGAATTTGAAATGTTTATTTTATACGGCGTTTGTATGGAGCATAACTAAAATCGAATCCAGATCCGCACCAGACACGCCTTGTTCTAGGAGCCGGCCGTTTGATGCAATGCTTAACAGTGGTACCATTCGTCAAATCTGACGCATTTAAGCCTGACATAGATGAATTTTACCAAAATGAAGCACCCCAAGGACCATTCGATTGCCTATCTAGATGCTACGGCAAATATGCTGGAATATGACAACAAGTGGTTCCTAAAAAAACGTTACCTGAAGGAAATAGATGATTATTATAATCCTGCGTTAGCCACAGTGTAAAAAGTATAAAAATCGTCGTAAGTCCAAATCTTATTTATTTTATAATTTACCTACTTGCTGCATCATAGCTGCATTCGTAAACCCGACGACCGATACCCCACGCTGATCTTGTGGGCTATTTTTAGGAGCTCTATATAGACTCATCAAAAGCAAGCTCCAAAAATTGTTAAAATATAACACACTTCACTTCTTCTCAATCTCTAGATCTATAATATAGGTCTTTCTTTATAATTATATTTTGCTAATCGAATGTGATACTAGCTCAAGTAACCAAATCTATTTTGTACACCCTGGAAAGGAACTAGTTCACGTTGGTGGAAGGCAGGCAAATGAGGTAAGTGGCTGCAGCCCGTTTTATAAGAATCATCGAAACCATCTTACACACGCTCGTACAGCTGCTTCGGCAACGTGCATCTTAAGCTTCATGAAGCGATCGAATAGGACCGCTCTGTGATGTCCTATGAACACTTCACAGCACCGATGTTTTTCCAACATTGACTTCTGCTATACGCTTGATGCTATCGTTTCGTAAATGACTCGGAAACAATTTCGCACTTCAAAAGTTCCTGTTTACTGCATAGAGTTGGCATATGTTGCGCCCGGTACTTCAGTTTAGGCATTGCATCAAACGACCGGTCCTCACCCGATGTACTAGAGCTGTTAAAGTGTCACGTGAGCTGTATCGGAAATGATCTGCAAAAAGCAGGCTGTTGAACAAGTCAACGTATCGTCATCCAGTTGTCTATCACCTTTATCAAGCAGATGCGTAAAATGAATAAAAACAATGGGCAAGGGAGGATCAGTTGTCGAAATGCCTATAAGTCATATTCTCGTAAGCTTCGGAGATGGCAGGGTGATAATTTTATAGTTTTTGTAATGGAGCAATTGTAAATTAGTCAAGCGAACTTTAAAATGTTGAATTTCATGTCGAATCGATTGTAGCCAGCTGACAATCTAGCATTACGTTCCGCCGGGCACCGTCGTTGTACGAAAGCTCATCGAGCTACACTATCATGATCATGCCGGTCGTGCGTTGGTGACAGAAGAAAAATATACCTGATTATGCAATTATGAAGCAAGCTATAAAAAAAAAAAAAAGATTTCAAAAGAAGACCCTGATCTGTTCTAAAATATTATCTATGCATAGAACCATATGCAAATAGTTATTGCAGATAGTTTTAGGATGGAAAACGTGTGCTAAAGTGTGTGTTTCGTGGCATCGATACCGTCCCTTCGAGTGTTAAAACAAGACCAGTGTGCAATCGTTTCTCTACGTACTGCTAACCAGTAATTGTATTACGAGTACTGAAGTTGGATCAGTTAAGATATCGCTTTTCTTCATACTTTTTTGTACCTTTTCCATTGCTACAGGTAAAATGAGCTTGACCCTTCGACGGCATGATGAGACCTATACATGGGACCACGTCAGTTGTGTCATCCATAATATCCTTGTAGGCAAATTGTGGTTTGAGCAACAGGGCGAGATGCATATAGCGTGCACGCAGAGCCAACTTCGTGCGATTATAAAATTCAAACAGGCTGGTCCGGACATGCGCGACCTGCATCGGTTCGAAGGATATGTCACTGACGAGTATGTAGTCTAGCTCGCCTAGCTGATTTTATCATTTCCACTACATTATCAAATGTGACAAAATTGCTTTCCAACGATGTCTCTTTAACTTATGTCGGCCCTTCTAACGATCCCTCAACACATAGCAGACTTGCACCTCGTCAAGTGGTGTATGATAGGGATGTTAACAGCGAAAAGCCTTCACGAAGTACGATATTAGCATCTACGCCGGCCCTGCCAATGTCTGCTTTCTGTGAGTTTTCGTTAATTAAAGTCCGTCTGTGACGGCAAATTTGATTTTAACATTATTCTCTATAGAACATATTCTTGCTGAAATAATTTTGCTATACAGTTAAACTTTTGATGCTTGTCTGGATGTAGCGATGACCGAAAGATCCGGTGCATATACGGGAAATGGCCCGAAAGTGTGAAAGCATGCCCACATCACGACGTCGAGCACAGTCCACGGCGTACGCCTGAGGGTACTTCGAAAATGTACGCTAAACTCAACAGTTTTACAAGGTCGCTCACCGTTGGCGCGACACACAGCAAGGTAGTAAATTTCACATTATACATGATATCTACCGGGTGTCTGATAGGTAAAGAAGCGTCCTTTTTGAATAGCATCCTTCATGTCGGCCAATAATATAATCCGTATTGTTTTTTCGTCATAGAACGATCAAGGAAGTATAAATATAGAGTAGTGGACTGTTGCCTGAAACCGGACATTGGCCTGCTTTTAATGCTATGCATTCTATTCTAAATAAAGTGCCATGAGGTTGACCGGCTGCTGCTTATCGATGGAAGTCCTATCTGTTTTCTTCTTTACAGAGTTATTTATGTAAACATTTAATAGAAAAATGGAATATATGTCGTTATGCGGCTGCATCGTACGGCCACGGCCTACTTTTAACATGCCTATGAATAGCCAAACGCATTTGCGTCCTTCCCTTGCACATGTCCTTCACTGACATTGTTGCTTTTTTTTTGTTTTCAATCGAACCGATTTTGTTGCTGCACCCACATTATGCCGTTGAGGTAACCCTTATTATATGGTTGTAATTACCTCGTAGCGGTCCCCTTTTGCCCGGTTTGAGTAATCCAATTTTTTTTTTTTAATGATTTATTTGCTTTGCTTCGGTCATTCAAATGTCCTGCTTCAGAGCTGTTAAGTCGCTAATCCCAGGGATATAAATATTTTACGATTTCATCCCTCACAACCGTGTTTTAGTTATCCTGCTACTCTGTACTGATTGCTTTATTCCCCGCCCTTAAATATCTCGTCCTCTAATTGCGGGTAACAGGTTATCATGTCATAATCCGTTGCCCAGTAATAGGTCCCGTTACTTCGAGGTGAACTTCTATAAACGGTCGAATTTCTATGCAAAGGTTGGGTCACTTGGGGAGGCTAGCTTCGATATTTTCATTAACAACGAATAGCATATTAGTGGTTGAAAATGACAGAAATAATAATTGCCTATCGGTTTTTGAAAACCGCATGCAGTTCTTATGGGGCTTGAAAAATGAATCCCACCCAGAAACCCATCTCTTAGCCCGTCAGCATTAGAATACACGAACAAACGTTTCTTAAGAGTTGGCAATTTTTGGCCGATTTTGGACAAACATCTCGTTTTTGCTATACTACTTCCTTATTGACGTTAAGCTACACGCAAACATCATCAAAGCTACTTGTGAAATGTTTATAATTTTCCTTATCATCATATCCTACGCATGGTTCCAAATTATAATATTTCACTATCAGCTTGCCGTCCAGTTACACCTAATCTTTGTGCATGTTAAATGCTATTGGTATCCATGTCGAAAGTTCTGGCGCCCAAAAATGTCAGCTCGGACAAACAATTACTTTTAAAATTTAAACCATATAACTACTTCAGGATTTGACAGCCGAAGAAGATAGCTTGTCGTATCCGAATTCGCGTGTTGTCTGGGAATCGCAGACAAAGCCACCGCATTCAAAAGAGTACTACCATTTTACACTGTTCGCAATGTCATTGAATGAGCTTCCCGATAAGGAGGAAGACCGTCGGAAGCTGCCTCGGACCGATTGTCGTTTCAGGCCCGATATACGTAAATTGGAAGAAGGCGACTTAGGCAAGTACTGCGATAAGCTTAATTAGATTTTACCGAAAGGGCTTCGTGCTTAGCCCTTGTAGTTTGATTTGAACATTTCGATGTTGTACAGCACTTGCTACATATGTGTACACAGAACACAAAAATTGGACCAGGGCATTCTCTATGCGAAAAAAATAGAACACGGTGTAAGAGGAGTCGGGAGTTTTTTTCTTTAGAAGATATTTGTGAAGTTTGTTAGTGATATCGAATTCGGTAGTACTCTCTATCTGGCCGATGTGGCTCCTCTCAAACCCTGTGCTAGCTTGATTAGCAATGACTAATAATGGTCTAGCCCACAACAAAATTTGTACGCTGGTTTAATGCTTGTCCTTGAACTTGAACAGATGGAGCTGCAGAGGAAAAGATCCGCCTAGAGGAGCTTCAGCGTGAGCGTCAGAAGGCTGTGAAGAAGTCATGGAGTCCCTTATGGTTTCGAGACAACGCCGATGGCTCATGGACATTCACTGGAGACTACTGGAAACGAGATTTTGCCGCCGTTCCAGATATCTTCTAGATCAAAATTGTGCTGTGTGTGCAAGGCATTTTAATCTACATGTACACGGGTAACGCTATTTTTGTGCTCCTAAGTTACGGCCATTACGATAGCCGTGCTTACTATACAATTTATGTGGCTAAACAAGTTACTTAAAGAGAAACTTTCAAACAATCAAGTGTGCGTCCTCCATCATCAGCTGTAGTAGAGTTAGCTGTTGACGACGACGACGATACGTGCAATTTCGACTTTCGTACAAATTGATTAACCTATGATAATAACGAAGGTTATCACCGGGATGACACAACCACCGTAGGAAATATTGTCTCTGCTTCCATAAACATAGACAGCAGCAGTAATGAGCGTTTAATGCGTCACATAATATTATCCGATTGATCGAAGACGTAATTTATCTAGGGGCATGCTGCTTCGTCATCGGAGAGCCAGAGATCAGAGTCCAAGTGGACAGACCGAAGATCTCTAAACACAATTTGATGCAGATGATTAGTACGGGCCGTGCGCCGCAAGACATCTTCTATCATGGTAGAAAATTTACCTTATTCAGAAAAATACAATAAGAAAAGAGCGAGCGTTAATGCGGCGACGTAAGAGCAAAGGTAGCCAGTGCAATGTTCAACCTAAAAATCTGAAATCGCTAACGAAACAGATGTTGGAACCTTGGAACCTACCTTTATAGAAGGGCTCTTAACACCCAATCTTGATTGAGAGGTTTTAAGAGCTCGTCGTCTCGTTCATTCATTTCGTTCGTCAAATTTACAGCTATCAAAGGATTGTGATGAAGGCACAAGAAAACATTTATATATTCCATAATCATCATCATCATCATATATCCCCAATGGACAACTTTTTCTTCCACGTTTTAGGCGATCTGGTTAGATTTTACAAAATCTAAGATAATGTCTGTTTATCTAGGTCTGATAAAATGCTTTCATTGCTGTCATCACGTACTAAGATGTGACGCGTTGTTTTCAGGTTAGGTAACAACAGAAATTAAATCAAAGATACCTAAAATCGACCTCTGTCGTTCGTTCGCGCAAGCGTTTTTGTGCTCTTATTTCATTTGCCCATAAAAAACATTGTCGATTTTATTTCTGGTTGAGTTTACCAGCTGTACGCACTCCGTAACTACTACTAGGCCATGTTGCAAGCGTGCAGGACGTATCACAGCCCAAAAACCGGATTTAGGTAACCACAATTGTAAGATACGCTTTTCTTTTGTCAGATCTGTTGTCACTAATAAGCATTTGGCCATCTAAAGCAAAAGCCTAGATCTGCTATTATTATGTACAGTTTCCTTCTTCTGGCTTTACTAACCCTCTTTGAACGAACAAATGACTCCGTATTAAGCGCAGAAACAAACGTCGCCGCCTTAACGCTTCCCTCTTTCGGCAGATAAGAACAAGCACTCGATCAATAGAGTAGGCCATTCTTGTCTACACCGCAACGTCACCTACGTCTGACGCCAAACATCGGTGTCATACGAGTCCGCAAGGACGAAAACACACCTCAATGGATTCACTGATGACAGACATACGTATAGCTATAACTATCGCAACACGAGCTACTACGCAGAGAATCTATTACGCTATATCAATATTTGGAAGGATAAAAATGTCTACTAAAAAACAGTATAGTTGACAAGATGCTTGCTATACGTAAAGATGGATGTTTAATGTTGAGCATGATACTATGGTATGATAAATATTGATCGTCGGTCGAGTGTCTGACCTTATTGAGCAGTGTGATGCATGGCACCACCAAGACCACGACAACGATTGTGAGGACACTTCGGCGCTATTGAATAGGTTGCCCTCTACTAGGTTTCTTCTACTAGGTTTGTCAAACGCGCACACAAATTATATATATATATATATACAACAGAAACATGGAATGGATGAAAAAGGAGACTTCTGATCAGTGTTGTCGCTCTAGTTATAATGACAATACCGCGTCGAACAAGGGCAGGTGTTGACTAGGTGAAGACAACGTTATTCTATTGTATACTTATAGACGCAGGCGCACGATGAATAAAAAACGTATAGCCGTTTACCTTCATCGATTAGGTAGGCTAGAAGAAAGCAAATGGCATCCAAAATGGCATGCAAAATCATCCATAGATTTACACGTTATCTATACGACCTATTTGTCAGTCGCTAACAACAATATCGGCTAATATAATTGTAAAACAGGTACCAAGAGAGTGACAGCAGACTGACTGTGACGATCGTTTAATAACATGGCTTTTGATAGCGAGCAAACAATCAGAGATAGGCTGAAGCCAGTGTATGTCTCCTGCCACATAAAAACCAAGTTGGTCATGGGGTTTAGTCGTACCAGTAGTTTGAAAACGAGCTTGGTAAAAAAAGAAAAAAAAAAAAAAAAACGACATTCAACTTACATCATGTCGTCTGCGTTACGCGCTATGCTGCGACGACAAGCGGGAAAGCGTCCATCCAGACTCTGCAGTATTGCCAGGAAGACAAATCTTCACCGTGTGAAGACTAATTTAAAAGCACGGTTTTTTTTTTGTGTTTGGTCAAAGCTATACCTATGATATTCTAAAATGGAAACAACAGTATTGCCAATTCGACAAAGGTGAACCCAATAGTTCCTTGCGGCTCTATAATCTAATATATATACGCGCATGATCCTTAGGGGACGATTAGAACTATAATAATTATTTATGAATAACATTACCTTATTCTAATAATACCCGAACAAAGGAGCATGTACAATCAAATATAATAGCAATATTAATATGTAAATGTTTTCTGTCTTCATTTGCATAGAATATCTTGACAATATTGCTGGCGCAAAAAACGGCCCGGGGTCTTGCATCCTTGTACGATTAATTAGCTCCTCCCTTATTCAGACACATTGATTTGGCCTGGCCTAAAAATTTAAGCAAAATTCACGGTTCCTTTTGGGACGTTTGTGTTTCACTACTCCAAATAGTAGTTACTCATTCTACTATGTGTTTAATATTCTAGCTAAATAAGTAGGCTACAGGGGCAGCCCTAGAACGAAACGATTGTTACTGTGTTATTACGATTACGTTTTCTGCTAAACGCTTCTGCTCGTGAGAGGCACAGACGTCATAAAGAATTAGTTAAATTCATATTAATCTGATTATATACCCTCGGACAATCGATTATCACAGCGCACTATCTTTGCGATCATCGTTTTAATATTGACTGCCGCACAGGTAGGTATGTGCAGAGGTATCTATCAACAACCAATTATAAACTTAATGAAAACCGATTCGTCATAATCTTACGTTATAGAAAGGGTCTATAATTTTGTCCAAATGCCTCTGCTTTCACCTCAGTTACCTCAGCTACCTTGCGATAATAATAATAAAATAACTCGTGTCGCAGCAGTCGCGAGAGGCAGTCGAAGGTGTCGCTACGTCCTGCTCGAGCGTATTTTGATAGCAAAATAACAACATAAAGAGGACGCCGACGAGATAGCGAACTACGTTCTGGACCAACCAGACAAATTATCTCGCTACTGATTGAAACTTCCGAACCATTTTACGAGAATCGCACAGCAAATGGCCACCGTTTTCGCGGAAGAAAACGCATGCGTCAAGCCTATTCTATGAAGATATAAACTACTAGCAGACAACTGCTGGCCGTTGTAGTCGACTGGCACCAGCCATTTACGATGTTTGTGTGACGGCAGTGTCGCTAGCGTCACGGCGGAGGCGAACCGCTAATCCGAGGTGGCTCCGGAAGCCACCTGTTTTTTTTTGATCCCTCACAAACGCTTTACGCTGCACGTTATGTAATATGCCCTGTAATCATCTATCAGCTGGCTATACGTCTGTCAGCGCCTACTATTCTAAACAGTACTGCCTATGAACTTCCATAATTAAGAGTGAAGCTGTTTTGTCTAATAACAAAGACAAGGCGACTCGCGGCAAGAAGACCCGCCGAACACACACGGTGGCTGTCTTACCGATCTTCCAGCTCTGTCCCCCAGCTTTCCATTGTTAGGGACTGTAGCTCGTGTGCATAGCTGTAGCTATGTGTTACCGCTAGCGGCATTTTGGCGGGCGCTTCGTCTGGACACGTTTTGGTCGTCCCATAGAAAGCGGTGTGGTCAAGCACCAACGGGGTGACTCCTACCGTGGGATTGATATTTATTTGGAATTTATTGCCTCTTAACTGCCCTGTTAATGAAAGTGGGTCTGCGGCTAAATCCTGATTCCATTTGAACAGTGACGGGTCGCCTTCGCGATACCACCTGCTCTTACAGCCGCCGGAAACATGTCTTATGTCTTCCGTTGTAACGACACGAGTGAACTTAATAGATTAATATAATATTGTCTGTATATACCTTTGCTAGCAGGCGAGCAAGGAATAAAGAGGAGGAGCCAGTAGCAAACGACCGCATGAGGGAACGACGCAGAGGAGAAGATATGATCCAGTAAAAACGCCAGACAGAGAGCAGATACGGAAGAGATTGAGATTGAAGGCCAATGCCTATTCTGTTTGATTAAGCAGAATACTAAGATTCTTTAAGAGAATAGTAACGTACCAGTTCGATGTTAAACATTTTATGTTCTATATTAAACATAAGGTCTAATTTTATGTATCAAAGATATTGGAATTGTAGAACAATCGGGGAATTTTTATGATTAGTTATATTTACGAAGTTCAATAAAAATACGTTGTATATTAGACATAGGTGACAACTTTTCACGGAGTGTGTAACTTGTGTGTTAGTTTGTAGAGAGCTGGTATATACTCAATATATATAGTTAGAAAAACAGGATATTCCTCGGTGTTTTGTAGACAATCCTGCACGTAATGTAGCAACGTAAAAAGTGAAGTAGGATCCATCTTGAATGGGTATAAGTATACGTGACAGTTGGAAACTGATTGTACGATATTCAAATAAATACATAATTATCCATATCTACGGATCCTATTGAACATTTGAGGGGGAACCATGCTCAAGGATCCAGCTCCCCGTGCGCTATGCATAGAACGTTATGAGTTCAGCTTTTGCAATAGCTTTTGGAACAATAAGGCACTGACTTTCACGTATAAATTGGTTTAAATTCAAGCAATTGTTTAGTGAAGCTGGCCTTGTTCCGCAACTGGCCAAGGCCTCCAATGTTTTCACGTTCTAAGGGTGGGGCGATTACGCACAAAATCATTGTCTAGGAACAAGTACAAAAGACAAAAATGCCTCTCTACATTGTCAGTCATGTTCCTAGAAGAACCATAATAAAAATAAACATTATCGGGCAATTCTTCATAGTGCAGGTAATAAAATAGAACTACCCGAATATAAGCCCAGACAAGCGCCAAACTATATCTTATGCAACCATAGTAATCTAATAAGATGTGGATTAGTAGTCTTAACGTAGGAAAGACCGACACAGGAACCCATAGACGGATTAGGACTTTCTATTTTGTATCGTGTGCATGGGAACTTGATTAATTATTAAGTAGCTTAGAAGCTTTTAGTATATCTTGTCTATAATTCTTATAAAGTTATTATGAAACATACAATTTGCCAAAGCTATTCAAAAGGCTAAATCTCTAAAAGTTTATTGTATTGCATGAATTATTAGTTAAAGTTAGGTTATTATTAATTAGTGTGTTGCAAGCTAACACATACAAATGCTACAAGCCGCGTAGTTTTCCATAATCTCAGTTAAACTACTCTTCTAACCCTAGCGTCGAAGGTACTTTATGTACCTATTCAAAACAGGCCCACGAGCTCGGCAAGAGCAGCGCAGGGTCTGTATTAAAATCGCTTTGTTAGCGGGCTGCACAAAGCTGTTCAGGGGCGTTTCTTTAGTTACTGTTTGTATTGTTCGCACGAGATAAATAAACAGAATATTTCATTCCGATATAGTTAAATATAAATAATTACATAAACGTGTAGAAAAACCTAGTTTGAATATCCCTGACGCTATACAATACCTGCTTCACTCCATTTGTTTGGGTGCTATTGTCCAAGATCGTTATTTTTACAGCATATATATATATATATATATATATATATATATATATTACAATGGAAAACTGCAACACTATATAGAAAGCGACAAGCAAATTAGCCTTCTTTGAGATTAACTTATGCCTATGAATTCCGCATAGCGCCGTCCTATTTTTGGGTAAAAGATCGTGGTTCATCCCATCACCAGTGAAGTGCGGTAAGTTCCTACATAATCGATGTCATGACGATAATGGTGCCACCCCACGATGTCATGCGACAATCAGTATTGCAAATTATTCGTGCTTCATAGAAATGCCCCAGCGAACCCTTGTCTGTTCTGTCGTTACAAATGACCATACATCACAAATGTGCATTGCGAGGACTTAGCTCATCACCCAACCTAGGCAAGTTACGAAGCGCCGGCTTACTGCTTGACACCTTCCGCTCCACCATTATCACAAGAAGCGCTGTATGATCACTCTTCTGAAGACAGTCGCTGATGCTGCTCCTGATGACGATTATACTAGCTTGGCTGTTCGCGATATCTTCTTCATACGGGCGCTTGGGCAGCGACACTCCCTCTACGACTGCTACCCCCTTAGCGTCTGCCTTAGTGTCGTTCTTGCCGGCAAGCTAATATGCCGTTCTGCACAATAAATGTATGGTGATGATAATATTAATAACAATGATGGTGATGCTCATGATGCTGGTGACGGTGATGCTGGTGAAAGTAAGGGCTGAGCTGAGCTGAGCGGTCGAGCTCACTGATGCCACGTTACCGGCTGCGTCTGCATCCATAAACAGTCGTTGGCATCACGGAGACGGTATCGTCTTTATGGCGTTGTAGCGTAATAGTTTGGGGCAATAGTGACAACAACAATGGCTGCAGCAACAGTGCAACGTTGGCTTGTGGTAGCTCTATTTAGTATAGGTGAAAGCATATTCTTCCATCAACGGCCCCCAATAGCACCCATGCTGTCATGTGCCGCTGCAACTGTAGTGGTACTGCGTCTACGGCAGCTGCTTCTGCTCTGGCGTTGTTGTTGTTGTTGGCGTCCATTCTTCAGATGAAGTGAGTTCTCTTTTATCGAAGACGGATCTTGACAATGGCTGAAGCGAAACGCACCACTCCCGGTGCAATGCGCTATCGACAGCGATAGCGGACCTCGGTGGAGAGTAGGTATTTCGCTTGGCAGCAGAACGAAGGCAGGAAGGAAGGAAAGAAAGAAAGAGCTTGCAGTTGGTTTTCGGATGAAGAACAATCGTTAGCAAGAGCATAGTTTGTGCTATGTTACTGTTTTGAACGTTTATGAGCATCTCTTCTCTGCGTCAAGTGGATATTTATGTGGTTACAATATGCAGCGAAGACCCTCGACGAAGTGTTGAGTTACGACAACCTAGGTGTCAGCGCGCGATGACGACGCAGCCGTGAAGATCAAATCTAAAAAGAAAGGTGACCAAAAAACATGCGTCTAGTGGACGGTGAGTGTGGGTTGTGCCCCAGCCCAGTACCGAATGCCATCTATCTATATCTTCGACAAACGGTGGTCTATATGGGTACACTATAGGCTAAATCAAACTGCGATATGTACGCTACGTGCAGGATATTGAACGATGTTGCACTTCTACTTTTATAAGTACCTGATAAGTTTGCTAACGTAGTTTGATAGTAACGATAGATGGACACTGACGAAGCTGTCTTGTGAACTGGTGATCCGATACGAAGCAAGACGAAAAAAAAAAAAAAAATACCAACATCCTCAGCTACTTTTTTTGTGGGATGAGTATTTTAATGAATCCGAACAGAGTTGGTTTGAGGGTTGTAATTAGAAGACCAATCAAGGGGGCCAAGTATACGATGAAGTAGATGTTTAGCTCGGCGAAACTACATTAAATGCCGGAGATTCACTATTTATTTTATTTAGTTGGAGTCCAATTGAAAAAACAAGCAGTTGCTAAGAGGGTAAAAGGTCGAAGTGACATCTGGCATAGATGGTCACTGGAGTTAGTCGATGCTGGCGATTATTAGCTGTCAAAAATAATAAACTCCCGCTGACTCAAATACCTATCGGCAAGATAGAAAGTTTTCACTTGTAACCCTATTTTACTCAGTGCGATGGGGTGGCGAGGAGAACGAGCAGGACAATATTTGTAGCATCAAATCAGGCTATTGGTTATAGAGAGACAGGTCTAGTTTGTCACTCCGTCTACTAGTAGCTGATAATCCAGGTATTCACACCTGTTTCAAGAGCGATACGTGCTACCAGACTTATGGTAGGATGCGCGATCACTAGCTCATAGCAGTGTTTGAGTCAAACAGCATTTACTTCGAGGCACTTTTCGTCGTTCATTCCTCCAGGACGTTCGCCAAGCAGGGAGTTACATCTAGCCGCTTAAACCGGAGCGCATATCTATCTAAGTGATGTTTCAAACAAGCAAAACGGCTCGACAGACATCAACGATATCTTTACTAAAACACAGTACAGCCCACAAGCTTATATAATTGATACAAAGATATAACATAAGCAATACAACAAAAATGTTGATTTACTTACTGTATTGCAATTTGCGACGCTGAAATCCTTGCAAAAATTACGACAAAAAAAAATATTACATTACACGAAACATTTTTAGGCCGTAGTTATGGTATTATTATAAAAGTGGCCACAATGGTCAGCTGCAGAAAACGTGTTTACGTCTTTTTACGGAACTACTCAGCTTACGCCCCATTTATACGCTTCAGAATTTCGCTCACATTTACTTTCGCTGAGTGACTGAGTCTCCCATGGGAAAACTTTACATTGGGGGGTAAACAACAAGCACGAACATGTCTACTGGATTCCTTTAGCAACAAAGCGAATCTAGAACGTAATGGTACGGCGCTTACAGCGTCTGAGGACGGCGATAAGCGGGAGGAAAATCCCCTACAAAATGCTACCTTTTGGCATCTTAAAAGTGAGAGCTGAGACGCACGCCGTATATTACATCCAGCGTTCGAAATAGAGAAATCATATACAGAGAATCCTGCCTTTGAAGTATCGTTCCGGATGGTAAATCTGGGCCGTATTCTCAAATAGCCACCTTCGCCGCCTACGCATAACAAAGGCACCAATTTTTTTGAGGCTGTTTAGTAACCCAATGACAGATAGCATAGCTTAACTGAGTTCTATTGACCTGTGAAAGAAAATCCTTTTCGAGCAAGATCTAACGAGGCAGATGCTAGCTACCTGGGTCTGGCCCAAATAGACCTAGCCCAACATAAAGTGATTATTGATTAAGCTAGCTGAATCGGTGGTGGCAAGCAAGCTCGGAAATCAGCTAAGGATGAAAAAGCCCCTGTTTGTGCAGTTTTGATTTCGTAGCTGAGTACCTGTAAACCGTGTTTCAAACACTTGACGCTGTCGACTAGTTTTCGTTGTCAATGAGTGTGTTAGAGCCATGACTCGTATCTTCCGACGTAGCTCGGCAAGACTAACAGACAACCTATCGTACTTCGCCTTAGGAACACACCAGCTTGTCATTCGAGTGAACAGTATAAATGTTCCCTACAAACATTGTTAAACGCTCTTGATTTCCCAACGAACAGTGTTTAGTTGCTTGGATAGAATTTTTTTCACCAATGGGCAACTCTGATAGCATAGAGCGTGGTTTTCGGTTGAAATGTCGAAAGTTCGTAGGGAAGAGTCTCATATAGGAATCTAATGTTTGGGACTCGAATGATTTGTTTCGACCAGCTCGTCGAATTTGGTGCTGATACGGCGTAATACAAGTAAACCTGACAAGATGTTCAATCGTTTCACTTCCGCTAGACGGAGCCATTCAAACGATGGAAAATGGTCGATAACCTCACCTTGATTCAAGAGTAAGACAGTTGCAGTACGTATTTAGAAACTATAGTTTCTCCATTGTTGAAACACGGTTTAATAATGGCAAAGCTCGAAACCAAGCCCTCTAGGCTGCTATAGATTCCTTTCAAGGCTACAAAAACGCTCATAATGTTAAACCCAGGGCAAAAACAACGTTTACTGATGCTTTTCTTAAATATAT